CTGGTGGGTCATAATTTACCGTTAGTACCTGTGTTTTGTTCACATTAACCCTGTACCCCGAGTATATGCCGAAATCAAGTAAGATTTTCATTATTTTGGGGAGAACCTGCGTAGGATGAGATATAACGAGCAACAAGTCATCAGCAAATAATGCCAACTTTTGCTCCCCTCCTTTGGTCCTTATTCCAATTATATCCTGTCTCTGTCTGATCCACTGGCTCAGTGGTTCTATAAACAAGGCGAAGAGGAGTGGCGACAAACAGCAACCTTGTCGAGTCCCTCGCTCGAGTGTGAATGATTCAGTAAGGTCTCCATTAATTTTGATTCTGGCTGTTGGTTTACTATACAACCCCGATATAGTATTTATTATAGATTTATCAAATCCAAATCTCTCGAGAACCTGATCTAGAAAGGACCACCTCACAGAATCAAAAGCCTTTTCGGCGTCTAAACTTAACAGTAAAGTCTCTATTTTTTGTCTATGAACCTGGTTCATTATATGTAAAACTTTCCTAATGTTATCTTGAGTTTGTCGGTGTTTAATAAAGCCTGTTTGATCATTGTGTATTAATCCGGGTAGGATAGTTTCAAGTCTCTTAGAGATGATGGAAGTGAACAACTTATAATCAATATTTAATACACTGATTGGTCGATAGTTGCTACAATCTAGGCTATCTTTTCCTTCTTTCTTAATTATAGAGATTATTGCTTCTTTCCATGAGGGGGGTATGGTTTTTCCCTCCATCACCCAATTAAATGTTTTCTGCAAGGTTGGAGTCAAATGATCCTGCATTATTTTATACCATTCTGGGCCAAATCCATCTGCCCCTGCCATTTTCCCCCCTTTTAGTCTTTTAATTGCCGAGTGAATTTCTTCTCTGGTTATTTTGGATACCAACACTTTATTGTGTTCCTCCGTCACTGTTGGTAGTTCTAGTTTAGACAGGAAAGGGAAGACCTCTTGATTATTATCTACTTGGGTTTGGGAGTAAAGTTTTCTATAATAATTCTCAAAACATTGTTGAATTTTCTCCTCATCGGTTTCTATTTGACCATTTAAGGGATTTCTTATTCTGTGTATAGTCCTCTCTGCTTGCTGCTTTCTGAGTTTATATGAAAGAAGTTTTAGTGATTTCCCCCCTACATCACTGTACTTCTGCTTGTTAAAAATTATTTTTTTCTGTACTTCAATCATGTTTAGGTCATCTAATTCTTTTTTAAATTTTACCAAATCAGATTTAGTGCTGTCATTCATAGTCACGGAGTGTTGATGTTGAAGTTCTAACAGTTTATCTTCCAGGTATTTACGTTTTTGCATGATTTCTTTTTTAAGATGGGAAGATATACTAATTATTTTCCCTCTAATCACTGCCTTCATTGCATCCCACAAGATTCCCGGAGACACCTCCTCATTATCATTTTGAACTAAATAATTCTCTATTTCTTTTTTTAAATTCTCTTTAATGTTTGGGGAGTTTAAAATATTTGTGTTCATCCTCCATAACGTAGATCTTTTTTTCCTGTTCAGACAGATATCAGCATAAACTGGATTATGGTCAGAAATTGTACATGGGCCAATTTCACAGGTTTTAATTTTAAACAAATCATTTTTGAATGCAAGAATGTAGTCTAACCTAGAGTATACGTTATGCGGGTGTGAGAAGTGGGTGTATTCTCTATTAGTAGGATGATGTTCTCTCCATACATCAACTAGTCCTACCTCGTCCATAAGGTGACCCATCCTCTTACCAATATTTCGTCCATCACCTTTCCCACTAGAAGAATCAAATTTGGAGTTTAATAAGATATTGAAATCACCACTGCATATTAAAGTTCCCTGACTCTTAGTTGTTGCAATTTCGAGTACCCGTCTATACAGGGACCAATCACTGCCCGGTGGGATGTATATATTCAGAATGGTGGTCATGGTACCATCAATCCTGCCCGTAATCATTATGTAACGACCTTCTTTGTCTTTGAATTCTGATATGTGTTCATAGTTAAGAGTTCCAGATAACAAAATTGCCACTCCCCTTCGCCTCCCAGAACTGTGGGACGAATAAAATACATGTTTAAAACCCATCCTGTTCAACTTATCATGTTCACTATCAGGTAGATGTGTTTCCTGCAATAGAACAATTTGGGCTCTGTCTCTTTTAAATTTAGATAAGACTTTCCACCTTTTTACTGGGCTATGCAAACCATTAATGTTGTTTGACACCAATTTTATCAACCTGCTACTCATCTAACTTATATTTCTTAATTATATCAACAAGGTTATTAGGATCCCCGCTCACTCTTAAAAACAATGAACATAGAACATATAGAAAAGTCAACATTAAGAACAAACAGAACTCAAACTGAACTCTTGGCTTCCAAGGGGGGGGTCTCAGATGAGAACCCTGCTTCACCTCCAAAGGCAGCTTCCTCATCGAATAATGAAGGGGCCCTTAGTGGCTGTGGCCTCAGCGTAGGGAGCACCACGAGAAACCTGTCTTATTTACTTATTGTACATCATAAACCAAATGCGAGTTCTAGTTCTTAATAACAGAGTGGATAAACCTTAATTTTCCTTGCGTGTGGGAGATGTCCTCTTGAAGGCTCTGAGTTTTTCTTTGTAGCCGGCTGCGGGGTCCTGTCTCTTGTTTGCTGGCCCACTCCTCAGTCCGCCGCGTACTCTGCTCCAGGTCAGCTGCTTCAGTTGTTCCAGGACCGTTTCTGGTGACTTAACGACCCGCACAGCGTAGCCTCTACTGGACATGTCTTCGGTAGCTTCCACCACCGTGTTGTAGACCTTTGTTTCATCGCCATATTTCACCTTCAGCCGGGCAGGAAAGAGGGTCTGAAAAGGGATTTGTTGCTCCTTCAGGATCTTGCGCACGTCTGCGTATTCTCTTCGTTTTTTCAGAATCAGAGGAGGGTAATCATGGTCCAAATTCACTTGGCTGCCGTTCCAAGTAAATCCTCTTTTCTGCCATGCCTTGCGAAGGATAAGTTCTTTGGTTTTAAAACTGAGGAACTTCACAATAATAGATCGCGGGGGAGCGTCGGTTGGGGGCGGAGGGCCTAGAGAGCGGTGAGCCCGTTCGATGTGTATGTCGAGCTCTTCTGGTGATAGCGCCAAGCCCTCACGGAGCAACCTCTCTACAAAGTCACCCATCGATGCCGTGTCCCGCTCTGCCGCCTCGGGCACACCATAAATGCGTATGTTCTCTCTTCGTGTACGGCTTTCTAAGTCCATTAGCTTATCTTCCAGCTTTAACTGTAGCTTCATTATTTCAGTGACAGCGTCCTCCGTGGTTAAAATCCTCTCCTCCGCTTTTTCAATCCGATCCTCAGCCTCATCCAGTCTGGCGTTTACCTTACGAATTTCATCTTTGATTTCCCCCAAATGTGCATTATTTTCTTGTCGGAAGCCTTTTAATCGCTGCAATACGGTCTCCCATTCAGCCATAGTGTCTCTGTTGGTTGCTTAGCTCAAGTCAGAGAATGCAGCGGTATTTCTTCAAGGCAGGCGTTCGAAATGAATAGCGATTAGCATTAGCTGAAATGCTAGCGATATTTTCTCAACTTTAAACGCTCGCTTTTGTCACCACAAAGCATCGGTTTTGAAGCATTTCGCTCACCCCAGTTTTTTTTCACCTTTATAGATATGTTTTCCTCGTTTGAGTGGGGTTGGGTTTTCAATTTCTTAGGTTCTCTCGGGAGCCCGTTCACAGCGTGGCCATCACGGTGACGTTCAAACCGGAACATGCTACAGTTTTAAGATCTGTTTACCCTCTTCAGCTTTTTAAATAACGCATTTCTGATATGTCTTTGATCAAACCTCTGCAGATCCAGTTTTGGACTGGTTGTCGGTTTATCTATTGGATTTAGGAAACTTATTTATGCCTAAATAAGCCATTATCTTCTAGATAGGGTTCTAAATTACCCAATAGGAAACATATTCCTTTGAAGATGAGCAGATGCAGTTCATCTCACTTCATTTTAAATAGACTGCACATCTAAATGCACTAGTTCTTAAAGCTCACAGTTCAAGTTTTTTTTGTTTTTTTTATATCTATGTGACTCAAAGACATAAAATACCCCCATTTGAAGCGATAACGCACCAAACCAGGACCAGCAGCTAAATGCATGAAAATTGGGTATTTTATGAGGCTTTTAGAAAATTATCTGAAGAAACAATCAATAAATCATAGAACTAAACAGTCAGGTACACTTGTGTTAAAGGTGTTATTTATAGGTAAGAAACCAAAGTTTATTTGGGAAAAGATGGAGACATGGCCGAGTGTGAAAATCTGAGGGTCCAGGCCTTAAAACGGATAATCAAGAAGGCCGTGTTCAAAGGATTACTTTGAAAAACCTGCAGAAAGTTTGAAGAACTGATCCATCAAGAGCACTTCAAAAGATTGCAAGAAAATCTGGCCGCTGTGAGGAAAATAATGAAAAGGGCCGACTGCAAGTATTTGTGCTGAACTGGATATTTTAGTGATTAATTGAATTTCCCCTTTTTTTGGCCACTGTAAGGAAAAAAGGCTATTCTGTTTCTGTTTCTCAGCAGCCTTTCATCTCACAGGAGTTGATGTTGGTAGAGTTAGTGAATAGGGGGTGTGAGGAATTTATAACAGCCTCAATTAGATACATACTATAAAGAAATATCTATATATTTAATTACAAGTGTGCATAGGTAAGTGCTGGACAGCAGGGCCTCCAATCACCTGGGAGCTAACACTCAGCAATGCTGGGAAGCTAATTGAAAGTTGTCACAGGATTTCAAGCTGCTAAAGTAAGGTGGGTGATGAGGTTGGGGGTTAAATTACCAGTGAATGAGCGTCATAAATGATAAGTATGGAGAAAAGGATGGCTAAGAGACAGGGAGGCATGCATTGATATGGAGGGACTTGGTGAGGAAAGGGAAAAACAGGAAGAAAGGCTGACAGTGTTGCAGTCGGCTTCAATTAATGTTTGCTTCTATCAAAGAGGAGCCAGAGCCGTCTCACCTGGTGAGGAACTCCACAACAGCGTCGCCCAGGAACTCCAGTCGCTCGTTGTGATTGATCCTGGAGGTGGAGGGGAGGATAGAAAAAAAGAACAAAAGGTGGAGATGTGAAGACGGTCGTAGGGAACAAAGACGTATGCAGCCGATGACTGGATCTGAGAATAACTGCAGCTCATTTCCAGTCATAAGCGGCTCTAAAAATTTGCTCATTCCGATTCCCCCTGAGATACGCCTCCGTCCCACAGCTAGAGTTAATTTTCTTGTCAGCGGCCCTGCCGGGTGTATTAATCACATAAATTGCCCCTCTGATTGCGCCTGTGGTCAGTGATGGTATGAGCAGATATGAGCCAGCGGGCGGCCTACCTGGAGGGAGAGGGGTCATCCTGCCCCAGACGGGACATGATGTTAATCAATGTGTTGATTCCTGGAAAGAAGCGATCCGCCAGAGGGAAGAGTGTTAATGGTGGACAGAAGAGACAAAGAAGAACACTGATATTTACATGCACTGTGGAGACATTATTTCCCTTTAATGAATAACCATAAATCTGACTTTAGCTCAACTAGGACTACCTATATGATCAATTTCCTCAGCAATTTATACTATGATCATGTCTCTACGAGCTTCGCATTAGTTTGGTCTAATGTCTACCAGCTTCCCTGACCGAATATAAACTGGATCAGGTTTCTAGATCTCTGCTTTTATATTTGCACTGATAATAGAGCTTTGTGATGGCCACTGACTTTGTTGCCGCTAAGCTACTTTCAGGTTTGGTGCTTTGTCCATCCGTGAGAAACCAAACTTCAACTCCAACTTCAAATCTGTTCTGTATTTGACCATTCTGCAAGAAAAGGAACATTCTGCCACTCCTGTGCTTAACAATGGGAATGGTACTCTTCAATCTTAGGTTCCTCGGAGAAAGGGAAAATGTCTCTAAACTCTAATGTGGCGTTTTTTAAAATTCTCTAAGGAAAAGTTTCCTTTTCTCTCAGTGCCCTTTCACTCCATGTCAGACCACGTTATGTATCCCTGCCATTCATGGTGTGCTCTTTCCATGCCTTGCCAAACCTTTTCCTTTCAGTTTGGGGCAGAGTCACATATTTTTCACAAAAATACATCAACCTCTTGCTGTGTATATGTTCTGTTATGTATAATATCTAGATGTTCCCTTGTTGCTTGCTATTGGAGCAGTGACTAATCTGTTGCTGAGAGAGAGCGGCTGGATAAGCTGATCAGGAAGGCCAGCTCTGTGATTGGATGCCCTCTGGACTCAGTGCAGGAAGTGGGAAACAAAAGGATCCTAACTAAATGAACATCTCTGTTGGATAACATCTCCCACCCCATGCATGAAGCTGGTGCTGAACTGGAGATCTCCTTCTGTGACAGACTGCTGCACCCTAAATGCACCAGGGAGCGTTATCACAGATCCTTCTTCCCAGCAGCTTTAAGACTCAATAACCACCACTGTTCCCATTAATAAGTTGTTACATTTATGTTGATTTCTGCACAGTTTCAACCTTAGTCAGTTAAATAAAATTCTGCTGTCATTTTGCACATCTGATGTTGCTGCTATTTTCAAATATCCATTACTATAAAAATTTTCCTATCTATATATTGGTTATTTATTATCCAGTTGCACAGCATTTATATTGTTAAAACACTACAGTACAGTATTTTATTGTCTGTCTTTTAACTTTTCACTATTATGTTATTCTTATACATTTTTCTAAGGTCCATATTGTGAAAATTGATTCTTTAATTGTTATTCAATTATCTTGGTGGATTTGCACAAGGCTAAAGTGTGTCTGACTACTGCCTTAAAATACATCTTCCTCTGTTTTAACCTTACTGCTTTAAATGGAGGCAAACTTTCCAGCTCACACATACATGACAAAGACATTTAGATTTTCCCAAATTATATAAAGGCACAGTGATCTTAGTGTATGTAAACTATGAAACTGCAAGGAAATAACATGTTCTCTCAGCCATCTGAAATTCAGCAAATCGTGATTTCATGGTAATCCTTAAGAAGTATCACGATTTTATGTCAGAGTTTAAAATGGTTACAGTTTTCTCAAAGTGTCTGGAAACATCTGCCTTTAACTATACATGCAGCGATGCCAACCTTTTTTCCTCATGTACATGTGGTGGACCTTCCTGTCGCCATATTTGGGCTGGCGGATGCCACAGTTGGAGAGCGAGTTGCGAGCATGATCAGGATTCATGCCAAAGTTGAGGTGGTGACTTGGGTGAGTCATTGCAAGCTGAAAGGAAGAATTAGCATATTATTCACTCTACTTTTTTTGCAGTTGAATTATCAAACTAACTGGAGTTTCAGAGTTTTAGTCCTTGCATTCAGGGGAGTTGGTCATTTCAGGAGCTCTAAAACTTCAGCTGCAGCGTTGACCCATACAGAGTTCAAACACATGGAGCTCGCTGTTAATAGTTTCCTCAGTGATTCACATTTTCTCTCCTCACAGTCCAGGGTTTATTCCTCTCTACTCACCATGTTTAGAACTTTAAATCGAAAAGTTTATTTCTAATATGGGAAAATGGAGCTCATATTATACAGATTCATCACAAACAAAATGATGATTTGAAAAGAATTCCTGTAGTTTGAAAATTAAAACTAACTGAAACAAAATTCTGCTCTAATAGATCTAGATTACTCCATAATGTTGTTTTTAACATACGTAACGGCACATTATTTGCAAATTGGCACGTCAAGCCAATTAGTAATGAGATTTTTTTTGCTTTTTTTGCAGCAGTGCACTTTTTGGGCTACCGTAGTTCAGTGACATCAGCCCGTCCCTTTTTATTCTCAGATGTCGATTCAAAACTGAAACTAGCAGAATGGGTAAAACCACAAGCTGCAAACATTTTGCGTGTTAAAGTTTCACTGTTGAACATCAGGTTTCACAGCTTGGATTTAGTTGTTTTCTGAATAAAGATCTATTCGAAGACAGGATCAGCAAAATAAATGGAAGAACTTAAAAGTAATTTCTATAATTTGTGATTTGTTTTTATGAAATTAAAGGGATCAAATCTGATTTGTTATTTAAAAAGTAGGTCAAGGTACTCCACAGTACATAAACTCAATAATTGGTCTGGGGTCCTTTCATGTGATTTCAGTAGGCCAAGATTTATATTTTCTGCTATGCTTTTTTATTTTATTCAGTTTTACCGTAATCTACCCACATAAAGCATTCTGATCAGTCTTGATCTCACTTTTATTTATTTAACAATCTACTTATTTTTTGCTTTAAAGTTTTCAATTACCATCCAAGAAACCAGGTTGTCTGCGTGTGCTGCAGTTGACTCAGATATGCCCCCCCCTTCCGCAGAAAATCTGGTGCACCTCCCCAAAATTGTAGGTGACCGCAGACAGTGCCACAGATAGCATCGCAAGGAAGAGAGAAAGGAGGCCTTTGATTGGTCAATTCTACATCTGTTCTACACTATGCGTATTTCCTGTTTGGTACCTAATGGCAGAAACTCTGGCTGCAGTGCCGTCCACAACGCCTAGTGCACCGCGGACACTATCCCGGACACCGTACAGGATGCTAGTTTGTTGCTCTGTGCGACGGTCCGTTGGTTTGCACTCGAAGTCAAAACACACAGCGCCAAGGCCAGTCTTTTGGGAACACTCACAGGTGAATTGTGTGTCGTCCGGCATTGGATGAGGGTTTGTAGACTAACAAAGCGAACACGCTTGTCAAACCGATACACGGAGACCCACAATCGTATCTAGTTCGTGATTGTCCCTTCCGGCGTTGTGGCGTGGAATAACAGCGCAGACCACGCTTCAAAATTGGGCATAAATCAAAAGTACCTGTGTCATACCCGCGACAACCTAACTGCAACCCACTGCTGCAGGCATATAAACAGCCCTTGAGCCTCTAGTGAAGCTGGTACCAGGGTCAAGGCTGTAAATGGAGGGGAAGAGAAAAGTGACACAACAAGTTATAATGTCCATCTCAGTTATTGATTGTTGCCCGCTACTCTTTTGAATAGGAAGACTGTTTTCTTATTTTACTTTGAACCATTAGCTTGGCATAATGAAGGACTTGACTTTGCCGAATTAGGAAACCAATTCCTAGTTTAAGGTTAAACCTGTTCCACGCCATCGCCACCACCTTCTTCATCTTTTGGTGAACCTTCCTGCCTTTCAGTGGGCACAGTTGTCTGGATAATTGACTGCCCAACTTATAGACCACAGTTTAAAAACATTTTCATTGGATTCACTAATCAGTACTCACACACTTAAGTTGTGACATAGACCTTTTGTCTTTTGCACCAAAAAAGCCCCCAAAAAACTGACAGGTATAGATTTCCAATAATGCACTATAAGCAGGAAGCTAGTCTCCTATTGCAGCAAAGGAGCCCATGCAGGGCTTGAAATGAATACTGAATTATTGTATGAACCATGTGGTTGGTGATTTCATAAAGCAATCTCTATGAACATGTTCTATGTGAGAGGAGCAGTATACAAATAATACAGAGTATACCTGTCTATAGTGGTTGGATGGGCAGGTTGGTGGGTTTTTGTTTAAAACATTGCATGAGGGAGACTGCAATTAGGGTGAATACAAAAGCTCATAAGGGGTTTATATTGATGGTTAAATAGCAAGATGGGACTTTAGCCTCTTAACATCCACCTCATTTTGGGAAATTCTCACCTATTTTGCATACCCAAATAGAAAAGCAAATAACTCAGGAACTGCAAGTCCAACTTACAGGTGCAATACATTATTTGAAAGCTAAAACCCTCTAGTTTCTAAATGTATAAATTATTAAAAAAATAAATTGGGTGAGTAGAACACAAGACCAAGCTGCATCAGTTCAAACATGACTCAGAGTAGTTTTTTTTTTTTTTTTATTCTCGGAAATAATAGGTCTTTTTTGAACAGCAGTAATAAAGACATGCTTGAGAAAAGGCATATCTCATAATATTATTACATTTGTTCTACATGTTCTAAACAAATGCAGAAATTTTCAGATCTCTGGCTACAACAGTTCCAGAGCTGTGGGGTTTTGAACTTTGTATCACCAGTGTCTCCAAACCTCTCCAAATGTGCCCAATTGTGCAAAATGCTTTTACTATGCTTTGCTTTACTATTTGAACCATATAATAACACTGAAGCATTTTGATGGCCACAAAACATTTATAAAGCTAGTATTTCCACCTTTTTTTTCCAGAATTTGTATAACAAAATATAGAATTTTTACACCTATAACATAAAAATCTATAAAAGATAGTGAAACTTCTGATTTTAGAGCTAAAATAAGCAGGAGTGCCTTTTCTGAGCTGCATTTTATTTTATTTTTTCAGCTTTAAGCATTGTAATAAAAAGCGTCCAAACTTAAAAAAAAAATAGGGCCGATGCTATCATTCAGCTTGGAGCTGCGCGCATGGCTCCAGTCGCAGCTGTCTGTGTCTTCAACCCAGTCTCATGGGAAAATGTACCCCCACTACGTTGGTCCACACTGCAAAACGTAGTGGAGGTACATTAATGGCCATTTTTTTGTGGTACTGTTACGTTTCTTTTGCCTATACGCTTTCTAATGTTTTACGTCCTAGTCACGTGACTTTCAAGATTCCAGCTGGGAGAAGAAAAAAAATATATATATATGGCCGACATTCGCTCATTTTTTTGTGGAAAGATTAATAACTTGAGTTTGTTTTTGCATTAAAATGAGTTTTGATTACATTCCTAGTGAGAAATGTATAGTTTGTTGCCAGAATATTTACTCAGGGAATGTACATATTCACTTGCTTGTTCGTTTCTTGCAAAGATTTTTCAAGATAATGTGAAACTGTAACATTTTGGTATAAACATGGCTGAGATTTCTCTAACTTTTAGTGGGAAAATCAATAATTTCAATCAGTTTCTGCATTTAAATGGGTTTTGATTACATTTATAGCGAGAAGTGTAGGGTTTATTTACATAATATTTACTTAGTGAACATACATAATCACCCGCTTGCTAGTTTTTGCTACGGGTTTTCGGATCTCGTCAGGATTATGTGAAATTGCAACGTTTTGGCTGCTACCCATCGCCTAGCATTTAGCTGCCGCCCCGATTCAACGTTGAATTCTTTGTGATTTAACTCCATCTGACGGATCAAACCCTCGCCACTGCGTGCGTTGCATCTGAGGTTGATTTTCAGATCAATGCATTACGTCGTGGCATACGGGAGAAACTAATTAAACTAGTTAAAAAAAGGATCATGGGTTAAGATCGGATGTGTTTTATTTGGAAATCTACCGGATCCTTTGTGCCTTTAACTTCCTGTTTGGTGCGATCTCATTGATGGATTTTGACCAGATTTTGACCAAAGAGGAACTCAAAAAAAACAAAACAATTTAAATACACAACCAGCATATCTGGAATCAGTGACAGAGAGCGGCTGGGACCAGAAGTTTATTAATTTCTCCCCACTGATTTCCATTCAAAATGTTTTCGATCCCACCGGGCTCTAGGGAAGGGGCGTGCATACCGCCACCTACTGTTCATGAGTGTGTAGCAACATTGTTTTACATCTATTAAATTCTATTTTTTAATTTTGTATTCTGAAGATAAATAAATAATGCTTTCTTTAATCTATAAATATCTTTTATATTTCCTTTATTTCCCAATAATCCTTTAAGACTCCATTCTTGGCCTGTCCTCTTTTCAATTTCTTCCTTTCAGGTCCAGATGTTTTAAAGTTCATCAATACGTGTTCTATATTTTCTATCTCTCCACATCCTTCACATTAATCATTATTTTTCCTCCCTATTAAGTATAAATTGTCATTTAAATAAGTATGACCTACTCTTAATCTGATCATTATTATTTCTTCCCTTCGGTTTCTCTCATTAATATTTCTATTTAATACTGACTTTTGTACTTTATATAACCTTCTTCCTTTTTATCTTCATTCCACCTTTTTTTTTGCCATTTTTCAATTTCTTTCCTCTTAATAAATGATTTTCCTTCCCCTTTCCCTAAAGGAATTGTAATTGTTATTTGTCTACTTTTCATTCCACCTAACTTTCCATTAATTAGCTTGAAAACAGCACTTTGTAGGCACCCAGTTTCTCTAACAATGGCCCTTTTTGGGTTACCCTCCATGCATTGGGTGTCAGTTCAGTGGCAGTTCCAGAACATTTTCATAGGGTTGACCAGGCAGCACAATAATGTGCATGTGGCCAAAAAGTAATAGGGATAAAATTCGGTTCAGAGTCAAGCTATTGGGATCAGGCATCAGGTTAAATTTG